GGATGGATGGATGGATGGATGGATGGATGGATGGATGGATGGATGGAGGATGGGGGGTTGAGGATTTGGATGGAGGGATGGATGGATGGAGGGAGGGAAGGAGGGAGGGATGGAAGAGTGAATGAGCAGGAACCGGGGATCTCTTTTTCTTGCTTTTTCCAAAAAAGTGAGGCTGAAAGAAATCTTGAATGTAAACACACTTCTCCCCCAAATTTTCCTTTGGGCTGTGGCCTCAGATGCTGCATTTCCACCACCCCAATCCCCCTGGCTTTAAGCCCAAGAGAGAAACCAAGGGGAAACCCCAATCAGCACCAGCCAGGGTTCAAAGAGCTGCCATAGACTGCCCTCTTGGCTTGCACCCACTTTGCACCCCCCTTTATCCAAACCACAGCTCCAAGGCCACCTCCTCTATTAACTTTGCTAAGACAAAGGGCCTTCCCCAAGGGGTGATATGCTTGGCTGGGCTGGAGCCCAAAATGATGCCGTGGCAATAGGAAGGTCAACACAAACCCCACAGCCCCACCGCCAAACAACGGGAAGCTCTACAAGGAACTCAGTAATGATCCTGCATCCTTTCCAAGTGGGAACAAAAGCTGAGGAGACAGGATAGTTAATCGTGAGTAAATGAAGGATGCAAATAGCAAATAGGGTGAAGATTTATTTAAAGCGAAGGCTCAGGAAGCGTCTGGGGCTGGAGATGGAAACGAGAGGACTATGTTTTGGTGGCTCATCAAAATCCCAGGCTATCGTGGGCCATTGTCCTGCCTGGCGCCAGGGGAGAGTGAGGAAGGACAGGGCTGAGGATAGGGAAGGTGCAGCCCCACGGCAGCCCCATCCCATGCTGAACTGGAGGCAGTTGTGGCCGGGCTGGGGCAATGTCTCCTGGCTCTGTGAGCATTGCAGCCCTGGAGTGAGTCACCCAGGGTGGATTTGGCCTCAGATAAAGGTAAAAACCTAAAAAAGGGATTTGGTAGGAAAGGACCTGATGCAATCAGGCTCTCAATCAGCTCCCACCCTGTGAGCAGGGTGATCTGAGGAGGTGGGGACTTCATCTGGTGTTCCCTGGGTTCTGAGGTGCACAGAAATGCCTCTGTGTGCACACACCCCCCAACCCTTCCGTGGACCAGAATAGCCCCCACCCTTCTCCATCAACCCTTCCTCCTTCCCCCCCCCCCCCCCAGGAATCACACACCCTACTCCTTTTTGTTTTTTGTAACCAAAATTCATTTATTTGTCACAAATCCCACAGCTTGGCCGTGCCCCTGCCCAAACCCCCCAGGGGATGAGGGGAGCCCACCCAGCCCGTGCCTCAATTTCCTCCCACACATCCCGCAAGCAGAGACAGGGCTCCCCAAAGCAAGCCAGGCTCTGGGGCACCAAGAGGAAGGGAAGGGGGGGGTCCCTAAGTATGCAGGGGCCGCCCCCAAGGAGACCAGCTCGGGGGGCTGCCAGGGAGGGGGGGTTCAGGCACGGAAGAGCGTCTCCTGGGTGGCAGGGTCCAGCTTGCCCCCCATAGCCAGGGCCCCCTTGCCTCCAGGAGGGTGGCTGTGCCCCGAGGAGAAGCTGCCCGAGCGCTCTGCCCCGGGCCCGGGGGGATGGCAGCAGAGCAGCGCGGCACAGGCACGGCGGAAATGGGGGTCGAAGAAGGCGTAGAGGAAAGGGTTGAGGCAACTGTTGATGTAGGCGATGCCGGTGCAGTAGGGATGGAAATTGTTGAGGAAGGCGTGCAGGCCGCAGGACCAGGGCAGCACCTCCAGGTCCATCAGGACGTAGAGGGTCTTGACCAGGTGGAAGGGCAGCCAGCAGCCGCCGAATGCAGCCACC